TCGCAACACTTCGAGCGCGAACAACTTTCGTTGGATTATCTTCACTTTGGAAGACCCATACTGTCGACTGCTGTTTAGTTTCGGGCTCATACGCATATATCCACGATTCGTCGCCTGTGACGATGTTATGGACGGAATATGATGCACCGCGGTTATATTTGTTGAGCATTTCTTTGCACCAATTCACACGAGCTAATTTTTGGTCATCGGTCAATTTATGTGGAATCCAACGAGAGCAAATCTTTTTTACGGCCAAATGTTCATGCAAAATCGTGTGTATGCTTCTCATACTAATGCCCAAGGATGCCTCAATCTCACGGTATGTGACATGACGATCTTGCTTTATCATGTTTCTGACAGCATCGATAGTTTCTGGAACAACAACCGATTTTGGACGACCTTCACGGAATTCGTCGATGAGCGAATGACGACCACGATTGAATTCAGTAAACCAGTGATATACAGTGGCCCTGCATGGAGCTTCATCGCCAAAGACCAAATGAAGTTGATCAAAACACTGTTGTTGAGATACACCCAATCCGAAGTCTAGGGGCTTTCATTATTCGTTCATACAAATTTATACACAATATTCACGTCCTATTCATCATATATACGATTAAAATTTCTCGCCTATACCAGTGAATAAGGTGTATTTTAAACTACAGTGTACACACACACACAGTATAGCTACACAGAATCGAAGAAGATCCGCACAAAAGAGAATGAAAAAACATGCCATAGACGAAATATATACGAAATATACACGAAATATACACCAAATATATGCAGTTATGCACATTTATTTGCGCGTATTACAGATGATTTTGCAATATATTTGGTGGTTCAATAAGTCTTTGGCCTGACAACCAGGTCGTGTCACGAATAAAATATCTCTTTATTTTTGACAAGTACCATCTGTCTTCAGACTACTGGAAAAACTTCAGACGAGTCCGTTCACGGACCTATGAGTTACAGCGCTTGAAAGAGACCAACCTCAAAATACACCTTATTTCAATATTTTATTACTTTATTCGGAAGGGAAGCAATTATATTGCACTATTATTCCACTCAGGGCATAGATAGAAGTCCCACCAAGCCACATCGGAAATAACAAAGTGATTCGTTATCAAAGTTATAGAAAATTAATATCACCTGTTTGGCTTTGAGAGACACCAGGTTGTGAAAATTTTGAAATATATTTTTTGTCTCTCAAGACAGTAATCTTTTGATTCAAAAAATTTAAAAATGACATAAATTAATCATTTGGCACCGTTCCAACTTATTTCAGTTGATAAAACAATATTTTCAAAGACACGGTCCCACAAAACGCGAGCTCGAACAAAAAAAGGGATTATATGGCTTTTTGCGGACATATCGGATTTTGATGTCCGTGTAGACTATACCTTATCCCAAAATGGATTGAATAGGTTCTGTAGGATACTGCTAATTAATTATCAACAAAAATATTTACATTACATTTATCGCAATAAAACTACCATTCAAAACCATTGTGAACAAATGCGGCAGCCTCCGTTCAAGTGAAGTTTTCTTGCACAAATGTTGGACTGATATATCGAAATGTTCTGTTCCACGTGATGCTTCGGATCTATTCTGGATTATTCACTAGGATATTGCAGACCCTCAAAGCAAGATCTTGGATTTTTTTAATCATTTCTTCAAAAAGAGACATTTTTGGGGTAGTTGATTTCCGTTGCCTGTATTACCACATGCAAAAGTAATATAGAACTTCTTACTAGCTCCAGTAGATAGAAGAGAGTCTGAACAATATCACCAAGCTTAGTTTAAGCTTTGCTGATAGATTTGTCTTACAAAAATTGTTGTTGATTTAAAAAATCGAATTCTTTTTTTTTCCATTTTTCGATAAAAACTAGAGGTTGGTCTCTTTCAAGCGCTGTAACTTATAGGTCCGTGAACGGATTCGTCTGAAATTTGTCCAGTAGTCTAGAGACAGATGGTACTTTTAAAAAATAAAGAGATTTTAAGAACGACGTATACAGAACGACGTATACACTGGAGGTGTACGAAATTTAAAAAAAAAAAATCCGTAAATCGAACTTTTTTGATTTTTGAACTTTTGGCTCCAGATAGTGACCCGATGAAAATTTTTCAAATCTGATGGGTGATTTGAATTGTACATATTTTGTACATTTTAACGACGTATAACTTTGGTGTTGTACAAATTCGGGTAAACATTTTCCGGGTTTTGATATTTTCAATTTTTAAAAATCCAAATTCTGAAAATTTTTTGTTGGTACATAATCATAAAAATTGTTGTACATAATTGTACATAATTAGTACATTTTAGTAGTATATACGATTTTTCGAAAATTGACATCGACCGGAAATTGACTACCTATCCAATCAATTGTTAATTTGAATACACCACGTACATACAATGGTGATGAACATGCTGGCCGTTAGTGAAAATTATTATTATTATTACATTATTCAGTTGGATTCAAATGTGGATATGATGTCAAAAACACATTCTATATAAGACTCGTGGATACGTATGGATAAATGTTGGATATGTATTTTTATGAGTGGATATGATGATAAAAACACCATATCCATACATATCATAGCCGTGGTCTATTATAGGAATTCCCATATAAATTTTGTGACCGAAAACACTGACGTCCTCCCTGATTGCATTAAATCAAACTAATGTTTTGTGTTGCATCTAACAGATGGCGCTCGCATATTCGCAATAACAAAAATCCATTTAAAAAGTCTAAAAAGTACAGAAAAATAATTTAAAAAAGGAACAATAAATAAATTTTAAAACGTTTTTTAATGGAAATTATTTTTCTTTGTAATTTTGTGAGATTTACTGTTCTCAATATTGAAGAATATTAAATTAGAAAAATAAAATGGTTAACATAACCTCACTTTTTTGTCACAATGATAACAAGTTGATTGCTCAAAAAATCTACAAAACACCAGAAAATATTTACAAAATAAATGTAAATATATTTTTAAATGTTAATTTAAGTGAACATTAATATCATTTTCATTTTTGTGGGATTTGAATTCAAAATATTCGAAAATAACTAAATCAAAAAGTGTGCAACATAGCCTCACTTTCAATTACGCAATTTATTTGACGTCTAATACAAATAGAAACATAACACTTTGGGACAGATTAATTTACTTTAATGTTATGAGGGTGCGCTTCAGTAGATTCGGAAACAGAAGAGTAAAAAAATTAATAAAATAAAAAATATTTTAAAGCTGTACAGCACTGTACGGAGTAATTTATATTTTTTATAAACCTTAATGATTTCCCAAATTCGTTACCTCTTTCAATGTTTTTTAAGTATGAAAACTAATTTATTTGCTCTAAAAACGCCATTACAACAATTACGTAATTGAAAGTGAGGCTATGTTGCACACTTTTTGATTTAGTTATTTTCGAATATTTTGAATTCCAATCACACAAAAATGAAAATGATATTAATGTTCACTTAAATTAACATTTAAAAATATATTTACATTTATTTTGTAAATATTTTCTGGTGTTTTTTAGCTTTTTTGAGCAATCAACTTGTTATCATTGTGAAAAAAAAGTGAGGTTATGTTAACCATTTTATTTTTCTAATTTAATATTTTTCAATATTGAGCGATATTGAGAAAAGTAAATCTCACAAAATTACAAAGAAAAATAATTTCCATTAAAAAACGATTTAAAATTTATTTATTGTTCCTTTTTTAAATTATTTTTCTGTACTTTTTAGACTTTTTAAATGGATTTTTGTTATTGTGAATATGCGAGCGCCATCTTTTAGGTGCAATACAAAACATTTGGAACAGATTAGTTCGATTTAATGCAATCAGGGAGGGCGTCAGTGTTTTCGGTCACAGATAGACCACGGCTATGATACATATCCACGATTTATCCACATTTATCCACGAGTCTTATATAGATACGTAACTTCTCTGGATAAATTGTGGATAAATCGTGGATATTTATGGATACGTATGGATATCAGTGGATATGATGATAAAAACTCCATATCCATACTTTTACACCAATTATCTATACATATCCACCATTTATCCACATTTATCCACGAGTCTGATATATATACGTAACTTCTCTGGATAAATTGTGGATAAATTGTGGATAAATCGTGGATATGTATGGATAAGTGTTAGATATGTATTTTTATGAGTGGATATGATGATAAAAACACCATATCCATACATATCCACGATTTATAAGTGTCTGTCCAAATTGCGCTTCCCCTTTGCAATTTTTTATGAGGTTTATACTAATGTAGTAAACACTCAGTGAGTATAAGGTCTATATCACCCACTCAGCGTGTATATAGAACCATACATTAAGTCTAGCTAGCTATTAGACTTAGATGTTTTGTATACTGGACATAACAATGGTGTCATTGTTTCAAATGGTTAACATTTTAAATCATTTTGGTTTTTGTTTCGAAAACCTCGTTTCGGCTCCCTGAATAATACCCGATTTTATTTTATCGGACGCTCAAATTGAATTTTACCCCACGTCGAACGACGAGAAATGTGAGATTGTGCTTAAAATGGAACAAAAGGTCAGCTTTCAAACGATACCAGACATTTGTTATTATGAGTTATAGTTGCTGAGATATTTGGCTCCAAAAAAAGTGCGGCGATTCGGGCCGACCTCCCTCCCATATGTGCAATTTTTGTTTGGTTTCTGTGATCAGTCAGTATGAGTGAATGTTTCAATTGACAATGATCAGATGGAATGAAACACATTTTGAGTAGACTTATAACTCATTGAATTGTTCAGACTTCAAGCGCGTCCGATTATACCGATCCCTCTTATAGTTCCGACCGCCTAATTTATTGCATCTGGCAGTACATTTATTGGCAAAAATTTGAAATGTCAATTGAAACTCGTACTATTGACATATGGTAATATTTACACTAGCACTTTTTTTTCAGTAAACTATAAAAAAACGCAAGAGAGAAAAACAAAGTTTATTTTGTTCATTTTATTTATTGAATAGTTTTAACGTCAGCCTTTAAGAAGATGACGATACAAGTATATGAGCTTGGAAAAGAGTGGAATACATTCCCTCGTTAAAAACCAAGATCTTTTAAATCAAATAATATACAATTCATATTCCAGTTATAATTTATATTCGTGCGCCATTGGGATAACCTTGATGTTGATATATCTTTTCTGGCCGCCTGTAATTAAAAATTTCGTTTTATTATTTTGGATGCATTTCCAGTGAAAATTTGTTTAATGAGATTTTTTGCGTTTCATCATCGCCTCAGCGATTAAATTAAAAACATCGCATATCTATGCGTTTGCATATATTTAAATTTTTGCCTTTTCTCTGTTGGTGAGAAAGTATTTCAAAGAAGCTAGTGTTACATTTTCAGTAAAGTTTTGTGATGGCATGGAATTTCTGAAATCTCCACAACAAATTTATAACGTACGCGTAAATGGACTGTTTATTTTTTTAATATCTCTCTAAAATTGTACAATACAAGAACGTACTTACATTATTTATGACTTCTTGTACTCCCTTACTATAAAAGAAAGAAAAAATAAATAGATTAGTTTTACAATTCCATTTCGTACACTCTTATATTGTTGAAATTAATTCGATATAATTTTCGTCATTTTTGAGTAGTTTATCTGATTTTTTTGGTAATTTGTATATATATTGTTCAATATCTCTTCTCCTTATCACTCTCTCTTGAGATACTTTTGATGTTTGAAAACGGAAAATAGTATCTAGGAGCCGGCCATAGTATATGCAAAAATATACCGTGGAAGTAACGTAAGAGCATTTTTTACGAGTACAGTACAGTAATCCAAATATATGTATAATTATTGACCTACTTTAAAAAATGTCGACTAATCTTAAGTTGGTGGGTCGTTTTCGACTTTCATGGAAATACATGAAAAATAATGAAATTTACCGATCGATTTTTCTCGCTTTTATTTTATTGAAAAACTTAAAAAAATATTGAAATTCAGGGGGTGTAATCCGCGAGTGTTCAACTTCAAGAACATTTTAAGTCAGGTCGGATCCTCTTACTCCACAATATCTACTTCTGGAGCTGGAAGCGAATCTTCCATCAAATTATTTACATACAAAATATATGTGGGTCAAAAACGACCCGATCTAGCAAAAATGTCCCAAAATCAAAATTGAAATAGCTAAAACTCTCCGATTTCCATGGATTAAGGTCCAAACAACAAAGTCACGAAAACACAGCCAAATATTGATAACAGTTTTGAAAATATTTCAGTTCAAAAAAAATCGGTCGACCCCAACGTAGGTCTACGGTTAAGAGAACTTAAAGAGGTTTTTCTGACGCACAGGGGTGGAGAGCAATCTCATCCATTACGTTAATAAAAGTTTTCAAATCCGTACCATTAATCAGGTATATGTCATATAGAGACACGGTTCTTTTGGAAAATTGCCCAAAAATCATGAACTTATCTTTTGTCTCTTTTGGGACTAATCATAGCAAAAACAACCAAAATGATATGAGATGAATGCCATCAATATAAGAATTTTTTATATTTTAAAGTATTTTATTCATCATCTAGGATAATAATAATCGAATCCGATGAATGAATTTATCGTACGATATAAATTTAATAAAGGTAAATAAATGTTTGTACTTACATCCTGTAAAAAGAAAAAAATCAATAAATTAGATCGAAATTTTCATTTCGTATATTTTTTAAAAGTCATAATACAATACATCGTGCGATTGATTCACCATCAAAGATAATAATAATTGAATCCGATGGATGAATTTATCGTACGATATAAGTTAATAAAGTCAAATAAATTTTTGTACTTACATACTGTAAAAAGAACAAAAAATCAATAAATTAGTTTTATATTTTTAGATATATAATACATCGAGCGACAAATTCATCATCAAAGATTCGATTGAATCTGATGAATGATTTCATTGCACAATATAAATTAATAAAGTCAAATAAATATTTGTACTTACATCCTGTAAAAAGAAAAAAATCAATAAATTAGTTTTACATTTTCATTTCTTATATATTTCAAAATATCCGATCGATCAATTCATCATGATAATAATCGAATCTGACTGAATCCGAATGAATTCATCGCAAAGACAAATAAATTTTTGTACTTACAAACTGAAAAAAGAACAAAAATTCAATAAATTAATTTAAATTTTCTTTTCGTATACACTGCAACCAGAAAGTTTGAGTACGATTAACGATTTTCAGACAAATTGCCGTTTTTCACACGTGTCGCAGATCATGAAAGAGTCATTTCTGATAGATGGTCTATTCAGACGAAATGTAGATCACAAAGTTTGTATGAAATTAATTCATCGTACCCAAACTTTCTGGCGGCTATGTATATGTTAAAATACATAATACGTAGCGCGATCAATTCATCGTCAACGATATAATGTTTGTACTTACACACTGTAAAAAGAAAAAAATTAAATAAATTAGTTTTAAATTTTAAAATACATAATACATAGCGCGATCAATTCGTCATCAACGATAATAATTGAATCCAATGCATGAACTCATCGCATGATATAAATTAATAAAAGGAAATAAATGTTTTTACTTACTTGCTGTAAAAAGAAAAAAATTCAATAAATTAGTTTTATATTTCCTTTTTATATGTATTTTTAGATATATAAAACATCGCGAGATCAATTTTCCATCAATGATAATAATAATTCAATCCGGTGAATGAATTCATCGCACGATATAAATTAATAAAGGAAAAATAATGTTTGTACTTACAACCTGTAAGAAGAACAAAGAATAAATAAATTAGTTTTATAGAGAATTGAATTTTTCACACTGGAAGTGCGCGCACATAGTAGACTTCGTACTCACAAACTAAGTGCGACGCACACAATGCTTTTATTTTCAATGTGCACACACATTTATATGTATTTTTAGATATATAACACATCGCGCGATCAATTTGTTATCAGTTATAATAATAATTGAATCCGATGAATGAATTTATCGTACGATATAAATTAATAAAGACAAATAAATGTTTGTACTTACTTGCTGTGAAAATAAAAAAATCAACAAATTAGCTTAGCATTTTCATTTCGTATATATTTTAAAAGATCATCGTGCGATCAATTCATCATCAATGATAATAATTGCATCCGACGAATGAATTCATCGCACAATGTAAATTAATAAAGGAAAATAAATGTTTGTACTTACTTCCTGTAAAAAGAGAAACATATCAATAAATTAGTTTTGCATTTTCATTTTGTATATATTTTAAAATACATAAAACATCGCGCGATCAATTAATCATTAATCATAATTATTGAATCCGATGAATGAATTCATCGCACGATATAAATTAATAAAGGCAAATAATGTTGGTACTTACACACTGTAAAAAGAAAAAATCGATAAATTAGTTTTACATTTTCATTTCGTATATTTTTTAAAATATTTAATACATAGCACGATCAATGCATCATCAATGATAATAATCGAATCTGATGTATGAATTCATCGCACGATATAAATTTAAAAAAATCCAAATAAATATTTTTACTTACTTGCTGTAAAAAGAACAAAAATCAATAAATTAGTTATAGATTTTCATTTCGTATATAACATGTGAACAGAAAGTTTTGAGACTAAATTCAAGCGTACGCAATTTGAACACCAAAGAAGCATTTTGAGAATTTCTCTCAGCGGTAGCTAGCTTTATTCATAGGCAACCCGGAAAACTTATTTTCAGTACACTCAACGGGCCATTGTCTTCGATTTTACGCAGTAGGTATCGAATCTTCAAAATCATGCGTTGGCAGACCGATTTGTCGATTTCATTCAACTTTTGCTTTATCCCACCAACTAATTGTTGCACGTTTCAAGTATTTTGGACCTTCGCCTATAACAAACATCCAAAAACAGACGAGAAATAATTAATGTGGTGTTTTTTTGTGAAGTTAAAAAGATGGTCCTTTTTCATGGAAATGCTATTTCTTAAGAAGCCATTATTGTGGTTTTTTCTACTTGCAAAACACAATTTTGTCTCTACTCAGATAGTTCTCAATGAATGCCATCGATTTCAACAATATTTGGTTGATAATGGAGCAAGTAATGGTGATTTAACCTTACGTTTCAGCACTAAATTTTCGAATAATGGCTCTAAAGCACCTTCCAAAGAAGATCCTACCATACAAACACCTCTTTATCAAAGTTCGGTTAGTCGACGTCTCTAGCGTTATAAAGTAGTGCCCTAACATAATCAATGCAAAAGAAACCACTTGTACTTGATTCGTGGTTCGATTTGGCGATGAATGTTTCACGGTCCAAAATGATGAATTTTTCAGTGCAACATGCAATGAGGTGAAGTAAACAGCCAATTTTTGACACCCTTTGGAATTTTTTCGTTATTTATTTTCTGATTACTAATGATCGTGTCTAAATCTATAAGAATCACCAAAAATGAATGTTTGCTTGATCAACCTTATTTTTGGCACTAAGTGAAAGTTTTGAAAGGTTTGAGCACTCTGATTGGGAATACGACCGGACTTTTTGCTCTAGAATGTTTACATTCATATTAAGTCCATGAAACACGATACATAGTTCGAACACAGTAAGAAAATATCAGCCGACGCTATACGCAAAACCGACTGGTACGTGCGCTCATACGTTTTTACATCTTTTACATCTAGTGACCATACGATTTTTCGACTGATTCGTTACTCTTTGTGCGTATCTTCGCACAGTCGAAAAATCGTATGGTCACTAGATGTAAAAGATGTAAAAACGTATGAGCGCACGTACCAGTCGGTTTTGCGTATAGCGTCGGCTGATATTTTCTTTCTGTGAAGACAGAATGGTTCATCTTTAGACACATGCACAATTTGTTTTGAACTAAGCTGTCCAAAACTATTTTAGACACTTTTTCGTAAATCCAATTTGTACGTCATCGCGAATGGAAATTTTTGTGCAAATTGTGTTTGACAGTAGAGTAGGAGTCTCGTTAAGTCTTCTATATGTATTGGTTGACATTTTTTATTTTGTTTATGTAGCACAATAAACGCCTGAATTTAGTCTCAAAACTTTCTGTTCAGATGTTATTTTTAAATAAATAAAACAAATCTCGAATGAATTCATTGCACGATATAAATTAATAAAGGCAAATAAAAGTTTGTACTTACTTGCTGTAAAAAGAAAAAAAATTCAATAAATTAGTTTTGCATTTTCATTTCGTATACATAGCGCGATCAATGCATCATCAATGATATTAATTGAATGAAAAGAATGAATTCATCGCACGATATAATTTAAAAAATTGAAACAAATGTTTGTACTTACTTTCTGTAAATAGAAAAATTAAATAAATTAGTTTTATATTTTAATTTCGTGTTTATTTTAAAATACATAATACATCGGGCTATCAACTCATCGTCAATGATAATCGAATCTGACGAATGAATTCATCGTCCGATATAAATTAAAAAAGGCAAATAAATGTTTGTACTTACACACTGTAAAAAGAAAAAGAAAATAAATTAGTTTTATATTTTCATTTCGTATATATTTTAAAATACATAATACATCGGGCTATCAACTCATCATCAATAATAATTGAATTTGACGAATGAATTCATCGTACGATATAAATTAAAAAAGGCAAATAAATGTTTGTACTTACACACTGTAAAAAAAAACAATAATTTAGTTTTATATTTTCATTTCGTGTATATTTTAAAGTACATAATACATCGCGCGATCAATGATAATAACCGAGTCCAAAAATTAGTTAGCATAGTATAGTATACCCAGACATACAAGCGCCCTATGCTTTAACATTATACAGACATTTTAGGGACTAACGTTGCCTGGTAGTCAACTTTTTCTTCATTATGTACTTGTTTTTGCTAAATGAGTGCAAAATTGGTGCATACACAAACCAAATTAAACGTTATTATTCACGCACAGTAGATGGTGCCTGTATAAAGACTTCCTTTTCTATGTTTTGAGGCTGGTATACCATTTGGTACCATTTGGTATACTTTACTATGCTAACAATCTTTGATCGAATCTGAAGTATGAATTCATCGCACGATATAAATTTAATAAAGACAAATAAATGTTTGTACTTACACACTGTAAAAGAAAAAATTCGATAAATTAGTTTTACATTTTCATTTCGCATATATTTCAAAATACATAATACATAGCGCGATCAATTCATCATCAGAGATAAAAATTGAGTCTGATAAATGATTTCATTGCACGATATAAATTAATAAAGACAAATAAATGATTGTACTTACTTCCTGTAAAAAGAGAAAAAAAAATCATTAAATTAGTTTAAGATTTTCATTTCGTATATATTTTAAAATATCATGGTTCGATCAATTCATCATCAATGATAATAATTGCATCCGACGAATGAATTCATCGCACAATGTAAATTAATAAAGGCAAATAAATGATTGTACTTACTTCCTGTAAAAAGAGAAACATATCAATAAATTAGTTTTGCATTTTTATTTCGTACTAGGGGGTAACCACGCTTTTTTATCCACCAACATTTAACTTTATTCTTAAAATCTGATTAAAACTCAAATATCTCAAAGTATTCAATTCTGGAAGTTGGTTTTGGTGGATCCCCAGGATCATCAGAACGCTCCCAGTTCTGGAAGTGGACTCTCAGGATGGGCCAGGGCATTGTCAAACCATAGTCTGGTCCATCCTGAGGAACCACCAAAACCCACTTCCAGAACTGGGAGCGGTTCTGATGATCCTAAAGATCCACCAAAGCCCACATCCAGAATTATTTTTAGATCAGAATATCTGACAATATCTCCCAAAAATGTAAATTTGCGTTCATATCTCTCGATAGCTCTTGAATTCGTTGAAATCTCCTGAATTTGTTCATATTTCTATATATTTAAATTTTAAAAGCGCGGTTACCCCCTAGATTTCGTATATATTTTAAAATACATAAAACATCGCACGATCAATTAATCCTTAATGATAATAATTGCATTCGATGAATGAATTTATCGCACGATATATATTAATAAAGGAAAATAAATGTTTGTACTTACAGCCTGTAAAAAGAAAAATTCAATAAATTAGTTTTGCATTTTCATTTCGTATATATTTTTAAATACATAACACATCGCGCTATCAACTCTTCATCAATGATAATAATCGAATCTGACGAATGAATTCATTGCACGATATAAATTATTAAAGGCAAATAAATGTTTGTACTTACACACTGTAAAAAGAACAAAAAATCAATAAATTAGTTTTACATTTCGTATATATTTTAAAATAAATAAAACAAATTTCAAAAATGGTCCTGTCTGTGAATTCAGTTATGGCAAAAAAAAAATCGTCATCAGTTGACAGTCATCCGTCATCGCAGAGAGATGCACGAAAATTCACATGTAGTATTAATTGGTATTATTTTGCGATACAAGTACTATTCGGTATTATAGTAGTACTAGAATAATTATATTCATAGTGCTCTACCCCATGGGTTGAAAATTATACA